GTGCCTCAGGCTYGTCGTGGATCCTTTTTCTTTTCCCGATGAAAAACACATTCCTGTGGTGCACTGGAATATGTATGGTTAGCAAATAACATTTATTTTTGCCTGACGCAGTGAGTGCGCTCAAGATTGCTAGACAGTGYGTCAAGGTAGAATGCCCTGAAATGTCTGAAATGTTCAGAAAGGCTTATAATTGGGSCATTTCACATTCATCACTTACTGAATTTGCTTTTTCTTTGGGTACTGTTTGAATATGGAATAAATGCAGAGTTGCTTGAACCTGGCAGCACAGTTGATGTCTTCCGGATGGGGTTCTACCACCCGGTGCCTTGTTCCTGGAGCTTTCCCAGGAGGACAGCAAGATCAGGAGTGCTGTGCTGATAGGAAGGCTTAGCATGGTCATACCCATGCTGTCTGCTGTGCTAAAATCTTCTGTACAGGGCTTTTCCTTTGTGGGAGGGAAAAATTGTGCAACTTCAATGTTCTGCTGCTTCTGCTGCCCACCAGTGGTGGGGAGCTGCCAGTGCCTCTTGGAGGCTTCTGCTGATCTTTGCTCTGTTAACGTGTTTGTGGAAAACATGCTCTTCTGTGCTGAAGTCTGGTGGTTTAATTGGCGTGTGCATCGTGTGAGGGGGATTTTTTTTACACCATCCATCTTTCCATGAATGCCTCTGGATCCTGCTGTGTGTAGGAGGAATTCCTGTTAGTGCGATGGTTGGGGCTGTTAATGAAAATAGCGTTGTCCAAATTGTTCCTTGGCGTGTTTTCCCCTCCTGTAGCTGCATATATGATCGTGGTAATTGGTGAACCATGTCTTACACTGTTCTTTTTGGCTGTGCCACAAAAAAACTCTCCTGTGTTCAAAGCTCTGTAATTACACGGGTTGACATGTTATGTCAAACGAAAACCGCTGTCTGAATCGTGAGCGGTTCGGACCGAGCTCTTAGTAAAAGCTGCCAAAGCACCGTGGTGATTTATGTGATTATTTKGCCTTTCCTGCAGTGAGGGACCCAGAGAGGCTCCTTCCCACCGTGGGGACACGAGGTGCACGTGGGAGGACTGGAGAGTGMCTGGTTTCCATCGGAGCACAGATGAACCCGCACAGGGAAGAGCCCTGGCATGGGAGCAAACATTAGTGCTTTTCCCCGGCTGCTGCTTCATTCCTTTTCTTCCCTTCAAGCAAGAAGGTGTAGAAGATGTATTCAAAAAGCTGTGGCTGAATGGGATGAACTGTCCTCTCTTACCAACAGATGGCAGCTCCTAGTCACAAAAGAGCAGCTCTCTGTGACCTGGCCCTGCCACAGCCTTGTTTTCACAGCACTGAACACACAGCACAGGCCTTTTGGCTCCCAGGGTGCATGCAGGGCAGAATAAGGCAGTATGTCTTTTTTTTTTTTTTTTTCCAGTGTGGTAGATTTATTAAAGTATATGGGAACATGGAGAAATCTGTAGGAATCRGGAGGGTGAGGAAAGTGTAGGAGTTTGTGTTGCACAGAAAAGGGTTTTCTTTTCTTCCAGTCCTTGTGATCTTCCCTGACTCTGCAAGGAACTTTGCTTCACGGCAGCTTTTGGAGTTTAGTTAGTTCAAAGTGAATGTCTTGGGAGAAGGTAGGCCCCATACCACGTCTTGCTGAAATCCTCTCTCGGGAGCATGGCTTGCACCGCTTGCATCACCTTCTCACATGCCCGTGAACACTCTCTTGTTCCCTGATAAAACCATTTCTGCGATAAAGGCCRTGTTTATTTTGGGCCTGTCCGTTGTTAGCAGCACTGCCCTTTGATTCCCCATAGCGTGGCCTTGCTTGCWGTTGGAAACCACAGAGAAACCCTTTATTCCTGCCGTAAGAGCAGAAGCCGCTTGATCTTTTTAGATCCTTTGTGTGTTGTTAAGGCAGGGCAGGCAAAGCCGGGGCGCAGCATACGGGCTGTTTGCTCAGGTGCTGGCACTGGAATCGGTACATCCGCGTGCCTGCCTGTCCCCCCCGTCCTCCCACCCTTTATTCTTTTCCTTCGAGGCCTTTTGTATCCCGTGTTTTTTTCCATGCAGCGTATTCCTTGAGAAGAGGGAACATGAGCTAAAAAAATAGCTCTCATAGGGGCAGTTTAGTGCCCCCCAAGGTAATATCTGTGCAGTTTAGCGTGCAGACAGGCTGTTTGCAAGGCAGTAGGTGGCTCTCGGTCCCTTCTTACTTGATTTGYACCATTTTTCTGTCCTGCAGAGTTCAGGTGTGCTGTGCTATGTGCTTGTGGTGCAGCAAGTGTGTCTGTGTTACATGCCTGTATAGGCAAAAGGAGCAAATGAAGAGCTGTCCATAACTGAATCGAAGGTAAACCCTGGGTAGCTGCCCTGGCTGCTCCCTTTATGACTTTAACTAAATAATATGCATTACCCATGTATCACGAGTAAATGCAGGTGTGTTCCCGTATTGCTACGTAGGTTAGATAAATGCCCAGTGGTATTTGATGCAAAGGCTTTAGCTGTGGACCATATTTTAGTGATTTTTCTCTCACTGGGAGAGTGGTAAATAGCGTCTAGGTTTTAAAGATGAGATTAGAAATTGAGGTCACAGTGTAATACGGAAGACCATTTTATTGTTGTTTACTTTATCTTATTCCAGGCTAAGTATTTCGTAGCAAATGTAATTTTTTCGGTGCGGTTTGTGAAATGAGTAATGGAGAGATCCCATTGAAAAATGCATTGTCTGGCTTCCTTATTGTAGTAAAATTAGCTCTGCGTGGTGTTTGTCATTGTGCTGCCAAAGCAATCGAGTCTAATGCCATTCCCCAGGAAAATAGCATGTGTGCCAGGCTGAAACCTTGAGCACGGGGGCTCTGGAGTTGGGATGCACTTGCTGGAAAAYGCGGATTCTAAGGTGGGAATTCCAAGTGCCGGAGAGGGGCAGGGACACGTGCCGGGCTCTGGCTTTGGCCTCGTGGCTCGTTGGCTGCTTGTGCCTGATCTTCTAGCATTACTTACGCACATATCACCCCAGTGTAACGAGTAACATGCCCTTGTGTGGCTTGGCATGATTAGGGACGAGGTTGGTCATCACCTGGATAAAATTGTGTGGTTCAGAAACCTCTCCTGGTCCTGGCAAGACACACTGACCTACGAAGGTGCCGCAGCCAGGGCTGCGTTGTGTTGGTGTTGTGTTGGTGTTAGCTTGGGTGCTTTTGCTAAGGGGATACTGCCTTTCCATTTCCACTTCCATTTGGGGATAAGGAGCTGCGTGGGTCTGAGGAAACTGAGTGAAATTGCTGTTGACATAAATGCAAGATTGCTTCTCTTTTTTTTCTTCTTTTATTTTTAGGGAAATCTCTGCGCCTTTAAAAGAAAAAGTCCTTTACCAACCCTGTGCTCCTGTGATTTATAGTATACATTACGTGAACCATGGAGCAAAGGGAAAAACTGTAATCTTGATATGTTTTATGTGACTAGACCAGCATTTTTTGTGCTTATAAATAATATGAACGTTTACTGTGTTAGTGACACTGTCAGCTGAGGTTAAAGCAAGCATTAGGGGGTGATTTGATCAGTTACAGATCTGCTTCTGAAGCCTGCAGTTTAGACAAGGCTAAAATCTCTTCATTTTACAGTTTGCATTTTTAGTTTCACTTCCRAATTGGGATTACATTCAAGCTTTGCCTGCCAACTGAATTTTTATAAGATTTATTGAACGCGGAAGTCTGTGAAGCAGGGAAGCACTTATGTTTAAATACCACTAAGGTCTTTGGGTACAAATATCTGCTTAAGTGTTTTATTGAAAACAGTCGTGTCTCAAGTAGGCATCTTAAATTTTCTGCTGTAAAGAAATGTGTCAAGAATCCAACAATTGGGAGACACCTTCTTAGCTGGAGAACACTAATCCTGAACCCCAGACCTTTCCAGTATTGTGTTATTCTACTTCTGCTTGTGTGTTGGAGTCAAGAATTTGGAATTAGGGCATATGTTCATTGTTCATCCTTACTGTAGGCTGGATGAAGTCGACAGCTCAGGTTGTTACTGACATGAGAATGGAGGCAACCCTTGTCTTTCTGCCTTATTAATTGATGAGCTGCAGGAGTCGTAGCTGGAAACAGAGGGGGATGTGTTTGTAAAGGGGAATGATCTCCGTGTGCGAGAGGCTGGCGGAGGTGGAACTCCCCCTCTGCTCCCTATGGAAAGAGATATGGTGGAAGGATCTTGCTTTCCTTGGGCTGCAAGCCAAGGAGAAGTTGCACCTAGAAGGTGAGGGAGAGTTTTTTTCCTGCAGCCATAGGAAACTGGGGTGAGATGAACAGAAGAAAACTCCTCTTTCTCCTCCCTTCTTCCTTCCAAGTTAAAGAAAAGCCAAGCCAGGCAGGACACCTTGTTCAGCTGTAGCTGGGCACATTGTGTGCCCCCCAACCAAGATCAGCAGCCTGTTTTCCCTGTTTTCTCTTTTTTTTTTTTTTTCCCATCCCACAAGAAGGGAGATGCTGGTTGGGAAAAGAGGGCTAAGCAAGCAGAGACCCAGAATCTCACCTCTGTCTTAGGCTTTGGTTTACAAGGTGGGGTTATTGAACAATAACTTTGTAAACCAAAGCCTAAGACAACTCTTCAAGGAAGAGCCTGGAGGAACAACTTTTTTTTTTTTTTGTTGACTACTTGTTCTTTGACTTGTTGGAACTTAGTCAAAATRTAATTTGCCCAACTGGGTAAAGAATAAGCCTAGTGTCTCGGGATCCATCACTGCTTCTGTTTTTCTGAGGATGGAGAAGGAAGAGCAGAAGCAAAGACAACCCATCACGTCTTAGCTGAGAAACTGGTATTTATTGCATCCTCCCACYGCTCAGCATTGCTTTACGCTTGTGTTCTGAAAGGTCCTTGTTTATCTCCGTTGCTGGAATGTATGTTTTCATTTTCTGGAAATATTTTCCCTCTTCAGCCTGTTTATAGGCTTTAAATGTTAGGCCCCCCACTACTGAGCAGGTTGAAAATTCTGACTAATTAAAATTGTCTTGATGTTCTCATCTGCTTTTAGTGTGAAGATGATCTACCTTGCAGCCAGGAGGACAGGACTGAAATGGCACCTGATTATTCTCTGGAAGACCCAGTAGATGTCCGGTATCTTCAGTGGCTGAGTGGGAGGCTGAGGTTCCAGTGGCAGAGTCTGCATGCTCTGCATCAAGAGCAGTGCAAACTTCTGCATAAGGTAAATCATTCCTCTAACGCACCGTGGCACTGCTCATTATTTAAAAGCATTGTCAGCTCATGCTAAATGTGCAAATTACTCTTATTTGCTAGTTTTGCATTTTGTCTACATGCAAGTRAATTTCTTTAAATACCTCTACCTTTTTCCAGGGGGCAGAAACCAGAGAAAAGAAGTATGCACCATGGTTGTAAGGTTGTGATTGTTGTAGAAAAGTCTTCCTTGCGGACTGATACCATAGCCAATTCTGCAGCCAGATAGGCAGAACTTTTTTCTTCCTTTTTCTCAGAAAATRTCTAGTAGAAGCATGAAAGAACACTAATGCCTGGGATGTTAAAAGTTGCCTTTCAAAATATTATTTCATCACAAGTGTTGACAATACTAATATCAGCAAAATAAATTGTGGTTTCCCTTTCTAAATTCCTAGAGAACATTCAAGCAAAACACCAAAATGCAGTTGCTTCTAAGTCGAGGAGCAAGCAGCAGCTTCTGCACCGCGTGTGGAGCTTGCAGACAGTTGGGAACGTTGTGTCTGCTTAGGATGGGAACAGCCAACAGTCCCAAAGTTGACAGTGTGGTGACTGATCTAGTGCTGCTCGGTGCCGTATCCACAACCATCCCAACCTTTTTGAGACTAGAAACAGGTTTTTGAGAAATGTCTTCTCAAAGACAGAGATGTATTCCTCCTGTAAGGGTTGATGTATTTCTTTTATCAGGAAGCTGTAAGAATTGGAGCAGGAGGGTTTTGAATGAAGATGCCTTCTTGGCTTTAATCCCGTGTCTGACAGAGCAATCCTGTAAACTATAATGAGGTTACATTTTGTTCTTTACATGAATTGATTGCTAGGGAAGATGCCTGATTGACAGCCCTGGGGAGAGATCAGGTGCTGYGTGTGTGCAGCATCTAAAATAACCTTTTGCTTCTCATTGCCCGCTGTGAATGTGCTTTTCTGAACTGGGAAGGAAAAGAGCAATTCACTGCAAGTTCAGTTCTTCATCCTTGGTTTTGGGCTGAGATTACAAACAGTGCTGCCATTAGGAGAGGTGGCTTGGCAACGTAAAACTCAAATGAAACTACTRTCATCATCTCCCCTTGATAAGCTCCCTCTGCTGTTTTTTCTAGTAGGTGAGGAAAAAATCTCCATAATTCATCATCAGCTCTGTGATTTGTCCAGTCCTTGGCAGTAACAAATCATTAGGCAGCTCCAGTAGCTCAGCTTGCACCGAATGAGAGCAAGGAAGACCTGAGAGCAGCTGAAATGAATATATACTCTTATGGTCCAGATCAGGCACTGAAATACGAGCAGATGTGCTGATGGGACAACATACAGAAGTGTTCACACAGGAGACTGTGGTGCAGGAGACAGATCTATGCGTGTCAGGACAGACTGGAGCCCAGTTCCCACGGATATGGCCATGCGGTGATGTTTGCATGGGTATGTGCCACAGCCTATGGAGTTTTCCTACAGGAATCTTCCGTAGACCTGTAGGAAAGAGTCATGCTTTGATTTATAGTCTAGTCTGAATTAAAAGCGAAAAAATTGAAAGGCAGCGGTAAAATACACCAAATATAGTGTGTGAAACACACTRTAAAGGGGACAATTTAACTTTTGCATAAATAATAGCTGATATTTCTTGACTCTTTAATTGGGAAGTTTTGACTATGCTACTGCATTAACCTAATCTTAAAACTTCTAAAGCAATCTACTTTGTGTCCGAGAACTGRGACTTGGTGTATTTAACTTGGAGACCTAGGTGACCCAGGATGGCTTGTGTGTGAGTTGTTGCTTTCCTAATATCAGCCACAAACACAGTGTGCAAAAGGTTAATGAATGTTATGTTTTTAGTTATACTGACAGATTTACAGAGGGCTTTCTCTGGAAAATGATAATTATGGCTTTTACTCGCTCTGTTTAATAACTTAACAGGTTATGTATCTCAACTGTGAAACAGTCTTATTTACTGCTAATCACAAGCTATAATTTTTTGCCAAGTAGTGGCGACACTTCCATGGATTTCATTCTGTGACTCAGACTCTAAAATGCCCTTTTCTCTATTTGAGGCTTTTTGAAACAAATATGTTGCACTTTAAAAATTCATTCTTATTCAGGAGATGACTGCCAGTCTGCATTACAAGCATGGAGATTCTTCTGGGAACCAGCAAGAGGCTACAAAAATACTCAGGAGCCAACTAAGGAGCTCAGGGCATGACCTCCAAGGAGAAGTTGAAGGGTTGGGTTTTGGAAAATGTTTCTTCTCTAGGATGATGGGCCGCACTGGAACAGGTCACCAGTGTTGGGGAAGGATCTGGCTCCACAGAGGCTTTCAACATACCACAGAATCGCTGCCAGCATAACCTAACGTTGGCAGTGATGCTTGTGAGAACAGGAGGTAGCGTTAGAGACCTCTGGAGACCCTTTCTGTTTCTGTGGTCTGTGAAAATGTGTTGAATTGCTTGGGTGATGGGACCGTGGGCCTCTAGGGTGGTGTGATGACTGCAGTCTTAATAGAATTTCTTCTTAATGCAAGACTGTATTGTCTGSAGAAAAGTAAAGGGAGCAGAAAGAGAGACATAGGAGGAGGGACAAAAATACGTGACTGCTTTTTTCTTGAAGTATGTGATAATTGAAGTTCCCCTCTCTTGAGGGATCATGAGGGGACCCCGTGTCCTCCTTTGCACTTGCCGCTCCATCAGCTCGATGGCATCAAGTCCTGCAGCAGGATGCTTAAGCTACAGAAAGGGGAGGCCTCCCAGGAGCTGCAGTTGACCCGTGTGGTGTGACCCGCTTGTCAGCGCCCTGACCCGGCAGCTCCTCCGTGCCGGCCGTCCCGCCGAGCCGCGCTCCGGTGCCGCGGGCTGCCGCGGCAGGGAGCGTTCCCGCGGGAAATCTCGGCCCGGCTGCTGCCGAGGAGCTTTGCAGCCCGAGGCTGGGAGCTGTGAGTAACATTATAATGGCTTCGCAACGTGGACAGCTCGGCCTGCCTTGAATTTTTAATATCGCAGTACTACCATTATTCCCTCGCATTTCCTAGCCGTTCTTATTTATCTGAAATACTCTCAAATATATCAAAGCCTGGAAGATAAATCACTGTGTTGAGGCTTGCCTGTTGGTTCTTTTCTGTTCTGTTTCTTCTTGCTCTCTAGCTCCGGTTGAAGTATCTGTCTGCCTGGTTTTTGATTCATCTTGAATTCATAGGAGAGGATGGATATTTTTAGTTAGGCCTTGAATTACCCTTTTGCTTTAAAAAGTGTAAATGAGAACCCTCGCGTAGTTTTAGAAGAATAGGTAAAAGCATGTATTATTTAACTGTGTTTTGAGATCTCGTAAATACACTATGCTACGATTAACGTGTAAAAAGAAATAGTGGAACAGGCAAACTTCTGTAAAATGGATGTTTTTCCTTTGGGTTTTGTCAGCTGTCCCCTKTGCAGGAAAAGTGAGGACGGAGATTACAGCTGGGCTAGGGAAGGGGTAGGGTCAGAGGCAAACTTAGACAATAGGAGTTTCATATAACTAGAATTACCAGATCGTGGTAAAACGACAGCAAGTGCYGTCATATGCTTGGAAAGGAAGAAAGGGACATGGAAAAAGTCCTGATGTTCTGTGTAGCAGAGAGCAGAGGCTGATCCGGGGTGATTACCTCATTGTCAGTAATTTATGTTTGTGCTGAAGTGCAACTGCTAGAATCGTCTGATCTTGGCCTGAAGAGTCTACATGCTACTCTGCAAATTACTGCATTGGGTAATTATGTCTGTTTTGTTTTGGAGTTCTTGATGTTTGAAAGTCTTTGGATGTTTTCGTAATGTGAATTTATCTTTAGCATTTTAAGTTCCTTCTTCAGTGCCATGGCCATATTTCTTCTCATCGCAGGTACGTGTGGACTATGAACAAGCTTTTCTCTTCTCTCCCTTTAAACGAGTTAGATCAAGGTGATCTCTTTGCAGCTTGTCTAAGCTCAAGGGCGTTCAAGAACTGGTAGTGGATGCTCCTCTAAAAGTGACACTCGGGGGGCCTGTGTCTGTACTCACATGGAGAGAAGTTTTGTGCAAGGTTAAGTCAGATTTATGTTGCCCTTAGTCTGATTTAACTCAGGTTCCTTATGGTGACAGTTTACAGACTCTTTCCCTTGTCTTTAGTGTTTTTTCCCTCTTTATGCCTTATTTCATCTTTAATGACATTGTGACTATCAGTAGTTAAACACCTCAGAATTTCAGTATTGCAGAAACACCGTGTTTTCTCTGTTGTTACAGCTCTAAAGTACTTGTTCAGGACCTTAACTAGTGACATGGCCACAACCGGCTTTTAAGAGGGGTGAAATTCCTCCTTGGGACCAGTGGCCCCAAGATCTGGCAGCCTCAGTTAGGCCAGAGTGCAGCAGAGCGGCCAGTGGTGCAAAGAGGAACATTGGGAGGTGCTTTTTTTTAATTTTTAAACTACATAACTGCACATGTGACAGATGGTTGTCAGCAGAAGTTAGTTTGGGGGAAAGGAATGCTAAAATATGCCGAAGTTGCAGGGAAGGGTTGATAATTACCCAGTGCCTGTCATCTTTAAAATAGTTGTCAATACCCAAGTGTATGATAAAGTTCATATTAGAATAAAAGACGAAAAGCAGCAAATATTCTCTGTCTTCTGGCAGAAATATTAATGAAATATGAGCGATTGTCTGACAAATGTGCACTGCTATCTTGTTTGGCAGCTGCAGTTATTACAGTAACAAAGGGATCAGTTCTGAATAGAAGGAATTGCATTTTATTGTTCCCTTGACTAACTTGGGAGGCTTCTTCATCAAATAATTGATGATACCATCACCAGTGCAGCTGGGACAAGGTCCCAGTAAGAGCAAGCCAAGAATATACAACAGCAGAAGAGAAACTTGCTGTAACTAGGTAGCCTTTTTTTTTTTGCTTTAAAGGGAGAAATCAGGAATTATTGTTGATGTCTCCTGCACTTCTTGAAGTTGTCTGCTGTCTCTGTAAATGGGCCTTCGTGCTGTGCACAAGAGCAGGTCTGGTGTAAGGAAAAGGGCTTTGAGACATGATGAGAAATACCTTGTTTTTACTGTGGCAGCAGCAGTGGCAATTCCTGCATGTGTTTTTAATAACAAACTGGACGGACCATTTTGTGAGTGAGATAATTGTTCGTGGTGTGTGGCCAAAGCTTCCCGCAGGCTCTTTGGAAAGGATCTCTTGTAGTGGTGGYGGTACTAGCTACACTTGCACTTTTCCGTTGGGAGTGGGCTTGTAACCACTGGTTCAAATCAAGAGTTGCATCTAGGCAGCTTTCACATAGTAGCTCTTGGTGGTGTTAATGCTCCTTATATACTGACAAATATMTTTTAATCTGTTCCAGATCCATTTATTCACTAGTGGCTGTCATATGGACAAGGTGCTTGGACATCTTTCTGTCACAGAAACAGATCTTGTTAGACAACCAGAGAACTACAAGCAGGTAAAGCCTCTTCTATAAATACTTTCATGCCTAGCATGCTTTATTTGGAAAACTGTAAGCATTTGTAGGTTGGTTTCCAGTGGAAATAAAGCTTATATTCTTGTGCTGTCTGTCCCTTCACTAACAACTTGACTCCACAGGATGGTTTCTTCCACTTGGAAAGAACATAGAAGACAGAAGATACGATGTGAGGTTTTATAAAAACTGGTAACTGGGGAATGTGGAGAGACCTAACTAAGGGATTGTGCCACTGAGACTAGAATACATACAGCTGTTGTGGCTTTGTTGGCTGACTGCAGTTATATACTGTGTACTACCAGTACCTACAGCGGTGCCAGATGGGCAGTGTTTTCCTGCCTGTGACCTTGTCTGAGCGAGCTGTCAGCAAGACCATGGAGAGATCTGGTTTATCTCTGCAGGAGAGGCTAAGTATATGAGCTGCTAGGATTCACTTGTTCTAGAAATTATACAAGTTTACCACCTTTTTGGAGGGAAATAGGGGCTAGTGTTTTATTGTCAGGAATGTTTTAGAGCAATGTCATTTTTCTCTAACGTACTGTTTATTTCTGCTGTTCTAAAATACTCAATTATCATGGATTTTTCAGTTTATTATTGAAAATGGTACAGTACAGTGTAACACATTCTCCTTACAAGTAGTTCATCCTGTGTGCATCTGAAATCAGTTTGAAGCTAAGCTTGCCCTTAACCAAGTCAATATTTGGCCGGTTTCTGCAGTCTAACCAAATGTGTTTACTCAAGGAAAATACCTTTGCTGCTGCTACCTTAAAAGTAGAAGTGGGCATTGTAAATATTGCACACAAAGAAAGGCAGGAGGAGTAGGCTTGAAGATGGGAGGCAATCTTATGTTYCAACTCCCTAGACTAAAGTGAATATTAATCTTTCATTACTGAATATTTTGTGGAAGAACAATTTGTAGCCAGTCTCTTGGTAAGATTGAACCATGTAGAATGTTTTCTTGGAAAATTACTTTTTTTCCTGGAGAAAGTGACTAAACTTGAGATTTTTTTGTTTTGTTTGTTTTCTGCTTCACAGTCTTCCCCTTTTACCGTGTGCTCAGCAGTTCTCAACATGCAGTAGTGCAGTCCTCTAAGGTCTGTACTTTATAATAGTCTCCTGAACTGTCCAGAAAGGTCTGGTGAGCTGGGACTAAAATCTAGGCTGCCTTGAAGGAGTTTGCAGCTAGAATGTTTCAGAGCCTTTAGCCTGCTTGTAAATCACTGATCTGTTGTAGCAAAATGTACTGATAGGTTGATAAAGTTTGGTTGTTTTTGCCTGTGCTGTAAACGATTCTTTCCAGATTTTTTTCTTTCCTGCATCCTGTTCCCTTTCCGGATTAAAGCCGTAGAACCAGACGTGTGAGGTTGCACCGTGTTTGAGCAGGCAGTGTGTCATACCCAGAGGCTCAGTGCAACGTCKGAGTCAGGTGTGCCATTCACTGGAGGCTTAGCAAAATCCTGGGGAAAAAAAATCTTTTTATTTCAAACTTGGTGGTTAGGTTGAATKCTGCAGTCAGGAAGGTTTAGTGAACAGCTATGTTGCTGAGTGATAATCTGTGAAGGGTTTATTTCACCTTTTCCAGGTTTTCCAAGCAAATAAAAAAAGGGATACTCCTTAAAAACAGTAGTGGTCATTGAGGGGGACAGAGACAGGGCAGCTGAAGCTGGTTTGTGCAGATAAGCTGTGGGTGGCCACCCATAGTCTCCATCTCTCATTTCTGCCCCTGTACCAGGTRTAGGCTTAAACAAATTGCAGCTTCAGCGCAGGAGCAGTGGAAGGGCCTTTCTTGTGATACTTAACTGCTTGGATGGTCTTTAATTGTCTGTCARTGTAATCATCTGCTAAATTAACCTCCTGAACCTCTCCAAGAAGAGATGTTCCTGCACAATAGCAGGAGATCCTCACAATGATGCAGCATATATATATATATATATGTGTGTATGTGAGTGTGTGTGTGTGTATATATATATATGTGTGTGTATATATTCTCAAGAGACTTAAAATTCTTCCTGTCATCGTTTGAGTTTGTCTCCTCTTGCCCTGATTTCCCCAGAGCGGCTTCCCAAAGTCAGATGCTGAGCGAATATGAAGACCCTCATACTGCAAACCAGTATGGACTTATGAGGACAAGGCTATTTCACGTGCCAGTTTTCCAGATGGATCTAATACTGTGCAAATTGAGGCTTCTTTGGGAAATGTAATAAGATGCCTCTTATTTTCAAATATCTTCATAAGATTAAGTAAATTATGCATATTTAAACTGCTTGGTCTTCAAACATTGGTGCAGATGGTAGCACTCTGACAAATGTATTTTCTAAAAGCTGTGAAGTATTTTTTTTCTCTTTAAGTAATGACATTACTGTTAGTATTACTTCAAATAATAACCTGCTCCATGGATCAATAAAAAGAGCAAGCATATCAGTTATCTCACTGTAATGCATCCCTGTYGGTGGATGGTGTTATAAATCCCTTCTTGTGCTAGGCATCCTTCAAAGGATGAAAATGCAAAGTAGATTGAAGTGTCAAAATTATCATAGAAAGGACATTGGGCTGGTTTTACTGAAGCCAAGAATTCATTTCCACCGAAACCATCCTGAGAGAGAACTTGCCATGACCCATAATAAAGCAAGAGGTTTTTATTTTGAGAAAAAAGCAGAGTACAGATAAATAAGAAGTTTAAACTTCAGTTTATGAAATGGAAAAGCCATGTGGCCCCCTTTTTGTAGAAGTTCCCTGTTCACTTCTACTTGTTTAAAATGGTCTATCTGTAAAACTCTTTATGCTTTTGCATACAAGCATTTTACTGGACAGGATTATTCTTTTATCGTCAKGAATATGTCAGACTCATAGAGTTGGAAATGGTCCATTTGTAATAGTTGTAATTATGTTTTTCTCCAGTGAGACCTGRCCAAAATCTGAATTTTCCTGCAGCTTGAATTGTGGGTGGTTATATACGTGTGTCTGAATTGCAGGTCAGTTGTGCTCAGCTGCTGTGCCACCCGGAGGTGTCAGCAGATGGGAGGTGAGGCTACTTCTGGTTTTATTAAATTTCCAAGAAATGTGTTTGCGCTCTCCTGTTAGCTCTTCAAGTTCACCTGCAGGTCCTCTCCTTCCCAGGGTGCTGTCGTGACCCTCTGAGCRCTCTGGCTTGTAGGCTGTTGGATGAGAAATATGCTGGCTGTTGTTTTCCAAGCAGAAGCAGCTCCTTAAGAGTCACTGGTGACCAGTGTGAAGCCCTTTGCCTATGAGAACATGCTAGAACATGCAAAATGGTGTCAACTGCAGTGTGGCAACATACAGCAGCCTGTGTCTTGCCAGGCAAGCTGGGTGTTCCTTGTGCCAGGAAGCTTCTCTTTAAAACTTGTTTTAAGTATCACTCTATGTTAGAACATCTCCAAAGCATCTTTTGCATTTGACAATGTCCTACGTACTAGACGTACTGTTTGATACCTTTTTTTGGAGTTTTATCAATATTGCTTGTTTTAAATAATTCTCTGTGTCTGCTGATGTTGGACTAGGGCTTGTCGTCATTTGCCACCTTTGGAAATGTCTCTGGACAGAATTGAAATTTCAAAATAGTTTGGAAGCCTTGCAGGGAGAGCCTGCCTAGGCTGTGTGTGAAGGTAACCCAAACTCRCCTCTCCTTCCCCAGGACAGCCTGGTCTAGCTCTGAGGAGGTAGGCACGTCCCTCTGGTGACCATGAAGGCAGCAGTTGCAAAGTGGGACTAATTGGGCATTTTTTCATACTTTTGGGGATAATATAATCTTGTTCTTGCACACGAAGCACATTTGCCTTAATTCTGCGGCGCACTGTCACCMGCTCTCATGCTTTACCTAGAGCTTGCAGGATGTGTATTGACCTTCAGAGTCACTAAATTAACTCGATTCTTGTCAAGACACGACCATATAGAGATCAATGAAGTTTGAAGCAAAGCAGCTTGTTAACTGGTCTTTCTGTCTCTTTCCCAAACTCTGTTATATGGGGAATTCAGTCTTGCTTGGTTTGTGTTYAGCAGATATTACAAGTTGTAGGCAGAACTAGGTCATTGGTGCAGTGCTGGAGAGATCACTGAAATTGTTCAAGTAATGTGTAAAGGAAGAACTTTGAAATGCCAGTASATCAGTTGTTCTGTGGGCAATAGCAAATAAATAATGCAAAATGTGAGGGTCTGCTAAATGAGCGTGTAGAGAGATCAAAAGAATGGCGACGTGAAATTGGAATAGTCATATGCAAATGGCTAGTCATTTTATTTCAGAATTTTGCGAAAAATATAAATATTTGTTGATAGTTAAATTGTTTTAAAGGGAATTTCACTGGCCTAAGGAAGCAAGGTCTGTGGTAGCAAATAAATCACAAAAAAATAGATAGTCTCTCTGGCTTCCCCTACCTTATATATTATTAGTTCCCTGTCCATAAAAAATTCAGGTGAGCTTTAGCTCTTCGAGCAGAAAGGATTGGGAGGAATGGGGTGGGATGATATTGCTGTGTTGTCAATCAGCTTTTCAGGCTGCTCACAGACTGCAGAGAAGGAAGCTCATGTTCAATATTAGTATYGCTTGCGACTCTGTAATTTCTTATTGGGATACTCAAGGGGGTAAATGATCAAGTTTTAGGATCAGTTGATTGTGGACCCTAAATCTCCTGACAGTTTCCATTTAAAACATCTGTCCCAGATGGCAGTTACAGATGGGTTGACAACAGATTTATCCTTTCTCTGTAATAGCCTGTGGTTTGAATTCATGCAAAGTACTGAAGAGCTTCTGTTCTTTTTGCAACAAGAACATCCAGATTGGAGGCATTAGGAACTGATAGGCTTTGAATTTCCAAAAATGTTGAACGTGCATTTGCTAATTGCTTTGCGCAAAATGGGAGGCTTTGCTTTGAGCCACGTGCGTCCACATATGGACTTGTGTGCTGCTTTGCAAAAATCCTTCTGATCCCTTGGAGTACTTCAACCGCACAGGCATGTTTAATGTTAAG